CTGAATGTCGAAAAAAAATCTTCAGACTTCATGATTATTTTTCTCAGACTAGAAAAATTCATGAAATCAAGGCACTTTTCAATAACAAAGGTTTTTGTGGATGTTTTACAATTTTATTGCCATGATGAGACACTTGTCAAAGATCCCAGAAGAAATAAATGTTGATTTGACAGAGGCTGTTTCTGAGCAAATTCCCATGACACAACTGAGATATTGGTGGTGTAAGCAAGATACTGACTTTACACTGATAGACAAAAAAATATTAGTACATTTATCTTGATTTTGTTATTCACATTTGAATATTTCCAAATTAATGTTTGCATTCTGAGCAAAGGATCAGTTAAAATAAATTATTTATATTGCATTTCCACTAATTAAGAACTAGTGTTTCATAACATTGACCTTTTATTTTATGTCTATTTGTTCTACAGCAATCGTACAGGGCGACACTGCAGAAGAAATCTACAAGGAAGTAAAGGAGGTGATTGGTAGAGAATCTGGACCAACCATCTGGGTACCAGCTAAAGAGAAACTGTAGGCCAACCATCTGGGTACTAAAGGGATGCTATAGGCACACATACGTACATTGAGGTGTCTAAATCCAATCTACCTGTCGAAGGTCATCGTGTTTGTATATAGCGAGCGGTACTAGTATTTTTATCGAGAACATTGGAGGAAGTTTAGTGAAAACATTTCAAATTAAACAGCCTCACAAAACCATGAAATGTACATAAAGTTATAAAGTAGGTGCTGATTGGTTAATACAGATTGCAGGAAATCTCTCTACTAATGGTGGTGCAGGGAATTATGGGAAAATTCTTCACTGCCATAGAACGCTTTCCCATCAATTGTGCTGAACTCTTTCAATTATCCCGGCCCAGTCACAGGTTTTCTGATTAATAACCAGTCAGCTGTTCATTATGTGATGAGACTAGTAATGGTCCTGTCATAAATTAACAACAACAAAAAGCATTAATGAAATATTACGAAATGATCGAAACACTAATAAACCAAATAATTTGTAAAAAAAAAATTAACCTAATTCTAACAGCAAGTTTGGTATTTGGTGTTGCTTGTTATATTTCATTGACTGAATCTATAAAATTTCTGGAAATGCAACACAATCACTTACAGTTAAACTAAAACTTAACAAGGATGTGATTTGGTAGGGAAGAAAAAAAAACATGAAGAAAGAAAAAAAAAAAATTACTTTGTACAGTAGATATCTTGTCCATACTATGGTATTATTACCTTAAAATCAGTGGTTATTAAATAGCATTCAAAACAAGATGTATTTTTTCATACATATATAGACTTAAACATCTGCACTTCTCCCCTGCAATTTGGTATACAAAACCTTTAGTTTTTTCTACTCAGTTGATACCATTATTATAGCAGGTGGGAGTGAGCAGGTAGAATATAAATTTCCTACACTTGCATGTGAAAGGGAAAATGATGACATTTTGTTACATCATATAATCATTGTTTTCCCTTTACAAAGAGTGTTTTTGGGGGGATTTTGTTACCATGTTTTGTAGAATGTTAATTTGTTTTCGATTTTAAGTCTGTACAAAGTTCGTAGGTATATATATATAGTAAGACTTGTTTCTTAATTCCTAACACCTGTGTATATTTACCCATTCCAAAAAATCCCTTTATCAGATCTTATCAGGAATCTGTTTTTTTTTTCCACACAGAAATTAGTATTACCACACTCTACTGTCATTCCTATTGACGGGTTTCAATGTTTACACGTATCTTAACATTCGCTGAAAATTTTATGCGTTTTATAATTATATATATTATTTTTTCAAAGGGAAGCGCAGCTATATTATTTAGCTATTTACTGTTGTATATATATCTGTCGGCCAGCCTCTCTATTCACAACCATTGAGACTTTTGAAGTTTGTAGATATTCTTCAACTATGACACATTTGCATGTATATTGTATGACCGTTGCCCTATCTGCAGCTATACATATGAATCGCGTTATTCAAGTCCTTTTTTAGCGTCAAAATTAGCATATTATGGATAGTTAGCTGTCATATCCACATGTCTAGGATTTTTTAAAATTTGTTGTGTATGTATGCAAATGTGTCTCATTGTGGGGAGAAAAAAAGGGGTATATTTTCTGAATTTTTGTATTTATGTGACAACTAACATTCTGTGATCAAGTATGTGTCCGGTTTCATCTTTGTTTAAATTTTTAATATTCATAAGCAGTATAGTCACATTGCTAGTGCTCAATATTCAAAATGGTGCAGATGTTTGTTTGTTTTTTTAAATTTGACTTTTCATTTTTGTTACTGAATTATTTATATCGGAAAAGTGTCTGTTTTTAACTGATTTATGATTAATAACTTCAAAAGTCTCTTCGGTCACAGTACACTTATTACTTTGCTGACCAAGAATGACCTTATGTTGACCAGGGAATACTAACACCAATAACATGTGATGTGAATGTTAGGTGGTTTTAATTACGTAATGGCTTGTCATATTTTGCGGGGGTTCATTCATATCAGACAAGCTTTTAAAATCATCATGGCCCTCTTGAGACAAGAAAATGTGTGCTTTCGTTTTCATAGTTGGAGCAGTTCTACATGCATCGCACTTCCAGTGTCGCAAATACGAGTTGTTTTATGCCACATGTTAGTATATGTATACTGTCTTTTTCTCAAGGTATTTTCTTTTTTATATCCAGCAGTCTATGGCAATAAAAGAAAAATAACTTACAAGAATCAGTTGTATTCCTTTCATTACATTTTTCCTCTATTCACGAACATTTATTACATTGCATGACAGACGCAGAACAAATATGTGCCACAAAAATCAAAACAAAATTTGTCTTTTTAATAGCTCAATGTCCATCTTTCAGAGGGAATATGTTGTTGAGATACAATAATCCCAAAATTCTTTCGCATTTGCAGAATCTAGTGCAATGTTTTGATGCGACTACAATGCTGTGACCTTTTCCCTGTTTTTGACTTCGTTGTTCAAAGCACTCAATGGGAGTCTTTGTTGTTACCATGTATGTCTGTTCTATCAGTATCTCAAACTGTGGTGAGATTTTGGTATCTTGATAATGTGCAGACTTGATTAGTTTTGGGTAAAAATCCATGCGTAATAATTAACTAATTTGCATTATAATTAGTCAGC